TTAATTTTAGGATTCTGGAAAAGCTGTTTCTCATTTCGTCTTTGAAACCACCTAGATTTCAGTTAACTCTATGGTTGCTTCATCAAATTTCGCCTCTATCCTCTTCTCGCAGCTAAACTTACAAAGAACATCGTACAATAGCGTTTGTTGAGCAGATTTTACTTCCGGCACTATTTTACCTGTAACATCACGGAACAGAGGATGAATGAGGAAAAATGTTACAGCCTTGCCGACGAAAAGTAACGCTCGGTATTCCAAACCAGTACCTTACTGAAAGGATTGACATAAAGCGGTGGTTTGAAGCTGGCACACTGAACATGCAGTTGCAATTCCCTCGCGAAAAGAAACGTTGTGATTATACGGGATGATGTAACATCGCCTTTTTGATTGTCGTGTTTTCCAGTGATATTCATCTTGTATTGTACAAATTTTAAAATTATTTTGTATAAACTGTTGTTTACATTATCAGGAAAACCAGCAGCAGCTAATTGGGCTCACCCACCAACTTAATGAAGTTGCGAGAAACACAAGATCGTAGTGAATGGAAGAAATTTATGGCTGCATAGTTGGAGGTCCCCACTATAAATTAACAGCTGTTCAAGGGTTCTAATTAGATAGAACTCTTTGTCTTGCGATGACAATCGCGCCGTTGAGTATTTTATGTCTAGCACTGGCAAAGTTAAAAGTAGATAAGAACTTCTAAGTATCAAAGACCCAGGCTGGTACGCACCAAGCGAGCCGGTGCGATCATGCGTTTTTGCATTAAACTTCGAAGTGCCGTCTCTCCTGGAGAGGGAATGGGGAAGAAAGAAGGGATTCCACATTATGCCACCATTCAACTGAAGGCGGGGTTTTGAGAAAGAGTAAACGTCTAAGTGTACAGACCCTCTGTCGGAGACATAGGGTTTGTGCACTAAAACGCTTGTGCACAAATCCTCCACCCCCTCCCCCCGCCCGGGCGGCACCAGTGCTGCAAAAGTCCGGGTTTAAAATTAAAACTACAGTCTGAAGTGACTGTAAGTAGCAGTGTGTTATGACTATATTCCTAGTTTTCGCATAGTTCTAGTGTGGGAGGGATC